TTCACTGAATCAGTACATACACTGACACTGGTGTTCACTGAATCAGTGCATACACTGACACTGACTGCACTTGTTGCACTGACGCACACGAAACACTGACGTACTGATACTGATTTCCATTGACTGGAATTTATACACAGAAGACGACGACATCTTCTGCCTGTAATATGCGGATGAACAAAAAATTTTCATTGAATGGAAGCATATCTGCTCAATAGTTTGGTTTCTTGGTGGAGATAAGCTACATACACTTTCCCGTACATACACTTTTCACCACTGCATAAAAAAACTACACTTAGCCTCTGCAATACAAAAGAGGCGTTCATTATCAATGTATTTCAGACACTTGTATAGCTCACATTTGAAGGAAGGGGAAAAAAAAACAAAATAAAAAATTCTTTTCTGGAATAGTTTGCATATCAATATGACATGATTCAACTTTTGGCATAAATGAGAAAATATTTTAGATAAAATTAATATAAAGCGTCTGGTATGAAACAATTTTGTAAAATATGCCTCGGATTAAATACTATTAGATTGGATTCTAACATGTGAATAAGTGATGACATCATCAACGTTTATTATTAAAAAATAAAGATACATAGGATCTTAATCATTAAAAAACAAAGATGAACAAATTGCTTATTTTTCAGCATTAAAAAATTTATTTAGGATATCTGCTCTTATTCTCTAACAATGCATTTTTTTCTTCACTATCGTTTTTTATTTTTAAGAAACAAATAATAATGAATTAGCTTTCTTAACAAAGATTAATTGAAAGTGTTTTCATCACTATTATTTCCATTCTGAAAAATTTATTCTTTTTAATCAACTAAAAGTTAATAATATTTTTAATTCGTGCAAAATTTATTTCATCCGAAAACAATTATTTCTATCAGTAAGAAAAAAAAAGAAGTAATTAAAGACATCTTTCCGACATGGTTAATATTATTTTCCTTTTGCTTTTCGATTTTCACCTACTTCGAATGATATAAAACTGAACCGTCAATATATTGTAGAGACAAAATCTAGATATGCATGCATTTTTAAGGTAGCTCTTTTCTTCTTGTGTCTCGAGAAAACGGGTTTATTTTTCAATATCTTGGACGAATGTATCGCT